GCTGAATATGCAGAGAAAACAGTACAGTTCGGATAATTTCTAAGTAGACATGCTTGTGTGTTTTTTTTTAAAAAGCATTGTAAATCGAATAACAGAGATGGAAAGGACTTTGGAGATCTTCTAATCCAATCCTCCTGTCCAAGGAGACCCTATACCATTTCAGACAAGTGGCAGTCCAGTCTCTTCTTGAAAGCCTCCAGTGATGAAGCAACTACAATTTCTGAAGGCAAGCAGATTAATTTTTTCCCCACTGTTGGAAAATTTCCCCTTAGTTCTAGGTTGCTTCTCTCCTTGATTAGTTTCCATCCATTGTTTCTCTTTTTGCCTTCTGGTGCTTCGGAAAACAGGTTGACCCCTTTTACTTTATGGCATCCCCTCAAATATTGGGAATGCTATTATGTCACTCCTACTCTTTTTCACTAGACTAGAATAGACAGACCCAACTCCTGTAACATTCTTCATACGTCTAAACTCAGCAGTCTCCAACTTTTGAGCATCAAGGACTGGTTCTGTGGAGAGGATTTTCCGTGGACTGGAGGGTGTGTGTTTCACATGCTGCCTGTAACCTGGAGATGGGGCTTTCTTTGCCTGGCCCAATTTCTGGCATGCCATGGCCTGGTGCCAATCCATGGACTTGGAATTGGGTACCTGTTTTAGCCTACAGTTCCTAATCTTAGTTTGCTCTTCTCTGCACTCTTTCCAGTGTCTCAACAGCTTTTTTACAATGTGGTGACCAAAATATGAATTTACTCTTCAGTAGAACTACAGTGGGGACACGGTGGCTCAGTGACTAAAACGCTGAGCTTGTTGATCAGAAAGATCTGTAGTTTGGCGGTTCGAATCCCTACTGTCGCGCAATTGAGTGAGCTGTTACTTGTCCCAGCTTCTGCCAACCTAGCAGTACAAAAGCATGTAAAAATGGAGGTAGAAAAATAGGAACCACTTTTGATGGGAAGGTAACAGCGTTCCATGCATCTTTGGCATTTAGTCATGCTGGCCACATGACCATGGAGACGTCTTTGGACAGCACTGGCTCATCGGCTTTGAAACGGAGATGAGCATCACCGGCTAGAGTCAGGAACGATTAGCACATATGTGTGAGGGGAACCTTTTACCTTTAACTTAGAACTACAGTAATAGTTCGTTTCAATCTAAGATTGGATCATGTGTTACACTGTAATGCCAAATTACACTATAGGAGCATTTGAAAGTTCAAGAAAATGTTTGCTAAACCATCCTTTATTTTTGCAGTCTGCTGAACGGGAAAAAAAGGGGAAGGCAGGTGATGTAATTTGAACCTCTAGTTTGTGCACCGATATGATCAAAGGAGTGGAATTTGATGCAATTAAAGTTGAATTAATTACCATATTGAGACATCCTTCAGATAGTAAACAAGATTTCTAAAGATCCCTGTTGACTGATGGGTGTATTCTCTTACATTTCACAAAAGAACTATTGTTTGGCAAGTTTATAAATTGCTCTTTAGTCCTTAGGCTTACCCATCCCCCTCACCTCTTCATTTATTCCCCACAAAATAAAATGTTCTAAGGAAACCCGAATGCTTCAATATTTTATTAATACTGTCCCCTCTTGTCCAATTATACTCAAATATATATATGGCCTTGTTTGAATTCTATCCTCCTTTGTGGATTCATTTCCCAGCATCTTGTTCATTAAGCTCTTTTTCTTAAAACAATGTATTTCTGGCATGTTTGCACAGGATGACTGTGAAAGGCAAAATGGCCCTCATAGAGACGATTCAGTATCATTTTGGCACATGCTATTCTGACCTAAGCTTCTCTAGCAGCATGAAGCTGAGTCCTCATCCCGGATAAACCCCTTTTATTTAATTTACAGTGAATTTCTCTCCAGCAAAGTCCTGGCTCAGAGTCTTTCCAGATAGTTCACACTTACCAACATTTATCAGGCTTGGAGAGTGGCCAGGCGGATCTCTTTCAGATGCCACAATACTTGGCAAGAATGCAGGAATGAACTAATTGTCTCCTACAAACACCCTTCTCCTTTAGCTTCTTTCATTCCCTCTGGGAGGGGCCATTCACCATCCACCTGTAGTCTTACTCCCAAGTCGACCCTTGTTCCTTCACTGTTCCCTTCCTCTGGCAACTCTGCACATGTGCACACTGGGAACAGGCTCCAGCTGGCTTAGGAACTCTGGGAGTTGAAGTCTACAAGTCTTAAAGTTGGCCAGGTAGGCAACCCCTGTTCTACAGCACATATTTATTAGCTCCATCGAGAAGAAAAAAATGCTGGGGTCATCAACCTTCTTGTGGCTGTTCCACTTAAAAGGAAACTTTTATTGCGGTATAATAGAAGACCTCAATTTAATTCCACATTAAAATATTTCTTCTGACAATTCGCGAGAAGTTTTTGAAATGGTGGCTCTTGATCTAGGATGTTTTCCCTAGAAACAGCAATTGTGGTTTCTTCATACTGCACCTGCCTTGCTGTTGAATACATTGATTTAAAAAATGCCATCATAAATGGAGGACTAGATAGGTAATCCTCAACCTACAACCACAATTGAGTCCAAAATTTCCATTACTAAGGAAGGCAGTTGTTAAGTGAGTTTGCTCCATTATAGGACCTTTCTGTTCTGACCTAGGATTTACAGTCACAGACCTTATCTGGCTTGGAGAGCTGACAGACTTGCTGGCTGGGAAATTCTGGGAGTTCAAGGCCAACACATTTTCAAATGGCCAACGTTGAAATACACTGGTCTACTCTAGACAGCCTGATAGTAAGAGAACTCTTCTGTTACTCTTAGGAATTGTTTGGACTACAGAATAGAATAATAGAGTTGGAAGGGCCCTTGGAGGTCTTCTAATCCAACCCCCCCTACTTTGGCAGAAACCCTTCACCACTTCAGACAAATGGCTATCCAACATCATCTTCAAAACTTCCGGTGTTGGAAAATTCATAACTTCTGGAGGCAAATTGTTTCATTGGTTAATTGCTCTAACTGTCAGGAAATTTCTCTATAGCTCTAGGTTGCTTCTCTCCTTGATTAGTTTCCACCCATTGCTTCTTGTCCTACCTCAAGTGCTTTGGAGAATAGCTTGACTCCCTCTTCTTTGTGGCAGGCCCTGAGATATTGGAACACTGTTATCATGTCCCTAGTCCTTCTTTTCATTAAATTAGACATACTTAGTTTCTGCAAGACAACTATGCAAGACAACGTCTTAAGAGCCTGTGTGTAGAAAACATACTCACATATAAGCATGCTCCGAATTCCTATTTCCATTCTAGGACTTGCACTGTTCTGTTTGAGCACTCACAAGCACAGCCTTACAATTATTGTGAATAAGTTGTAGAGCTGCCCATAAGTAGAGTTACAAATGACACTTCAGGGACATGTGGGAGATTGCATGACTTCAGATTCAACCCCTACAATTTCTGTTTGAAATCTCATATACTATGTATAGGTCTTGGCGGGAGGGAAAAAAAATCCACATCTGAATCAAACGAAGTCACAGCCACTTAAGTCTTTGGTACATACAGATTAGTCATGTGAACTAATGTGAAACTGGCTACGGGTGATTGAATACACAACATTCTTGACTGGACAGACCTGCTGCAGAAGAAAAAATACATTTCGTTATTGCTGGCAGGCTGCATTTGAAAACAAAAAGTGAAAATTTGGAGCTGGGGACTCCAGAAATAGAGGCACTGATACTATTCTGAAGCTGGCATAGCTGCTTGTTCAAAATTGGTTCAACCTATATTTTTGTACATTAAACCAAGTGTAGTCACAGAGCCTAAAAAATATTCTCTGGGAGGAAGAACCTACACTAAGGGTGAGGGTCCTATAATGTTGTTCTTCCTATCAATATTGCCAACCAGGGTGTCTCAAGGGTGCTTTTTCAAATTGGCAACTGGATTTCCTTGGTTTTTTTTCCCTTGAGAAAGTTTGGCTTCTCACCCGAAAAACTTCTTTGGTTCTGCAAGTTGTGACGAAGCTTCTCGAGACGAGAAGTGAAACGTTTTCAAGAGGAAAAGAAAAACCAAGAAAGTCCAGCTGCCTTTTGAAAAAGCACCCTTGGGACATCATTCTTGTTGTTGGCATTGTTATAGGGACAACAACATCTATTAGGTTGTAGGTCCCTCACTTTAGTGTAAGTTCTCCCTCACAGAGAATATTTTTAGGTTTGGATGATTGAGAATCTCCATAGACATTAAAATTGAACAGCTGCAGTTGAACATCTGATAGTCTCTAGGCCAGTGTTTCTCAACCTTGGCAACTTGAAGATGACATTCGCTGGCTGGGGAATTCTGGGACTTGAAGTCCAGACATCTTCAAGTTGCCAAGGTTGAGAAACACTGCTCTAGGCTCTTCACCCAATTCAGACGAAGAAGGCAGGACAGGTGAATTAACCACTTGCTATATTCAGATAAGCACCGTGTGTGTGTGTGTGTGTGTGTGTGTGTGTGTGTGTGTGTGTGTGTGTGTGATGCCAGACACCCTAGAACAGTGATGGCAAACCTCTTAGGCACAGAGTGCCCAAATTAGAAGGCATGGTGGTGCCAGAGCACCACAAACCCAACAACCAGTTGGCCGGCACGCATGCGTGCCTTGGGAACCCAACTATCAGTTGGCTGAGCTGGGGTGATGGTGCGTGTGCCCACAGAGAGGGCTCTGCATGCTACCTCTGGCATACGTGCCATTGGTTTGCCAACATGGCCCTAGAAATTTCACTATCTTGTTAGGCATGCAGTGAAAGATCCACATTGGGCAGGGTAGGTAACCTTCCCCCATCCTTGGCACAGGACAACTGTCCAACAATGGTAATTACCAATTGAAGTATCATAAATGTACATCAGCATCAGCATAATAAAACAACGAGATTCAAAGGCAAGAAATACTGAAGCCACATGGAACTGCCCCTTAAATGTTTCCTACTTCTGCATATACATAATATACAAGTTACCTTAGGTACCAAGTCCTCAGAAAAAAAGTCTTTTGCGGTCCCCTGGGGACAAGAGAAGGTATAGAATATCTGCTTTATTTAAATTTATTTTATTCTACCTGTGGGGGGAAAAACCCTAAAAATGTCTTCAAGGCCATTCGACCTCTTTTTCTGGGAAACACAATCCTTCATGAAGGGACGTATTTCATAAGCTTCAGAAAAACAGAGAAAGGTAGTGATTTAGCCGCATCTGGAGAAGTGTTGCAGTCCTTCAGGTCATGAATAACGCTGGGCCCTAAATGAAGTCTCCTTGGAAGGATAGGAGGCTACGGCTTTGCTCCTGCCAGCGATAGCGAAGCTGGGAGAGGGCCTGCCTGTCCAGAGTTTCAAATTCAGAAAAACCCAGCTGGTTCAGGATCTCATAGACACCTGCCTTGGCCGCCACCTGGAAAGCAGAAAAAATGAATCAGGGATCAGGAGGGAAGAGAAAAAACACAGTGACAATGGTGATCTTAAGAGGATTTTAAAAAATAACCCAGATATCTATTGTTGTAAAATATCTATTGTTTTTGACTACAGATAGTCCTTGGCTTACAATCTTCCATTTGTTGACCATTCAAATGACCGTTCTTCACCATTGCAGCATCCCCATGATCATGTGATCAAAATTCAGATGCCTTAGATGAGTTTAGTTTACTTTGTTGTCATTGCACATCGTGCAACAAAATGAAATGCCGTCGTCAGTGTACATTATAACTATAAAAATAAAACACAAAGACACATCCTTCACATTCTATATAATTAAAATTGAAAACACCTGATACAGCATTAATGTTGCACTATACCATAGAATTCAATATAGTTACTGTCCTGGGATAGAAGCTGTTTTTCAGCCTATTTGTCCTTGTTTTTATCCTCCTGTTCCGTCTGCCAGATGTTAATAGTTCAAAAAAAGGGTGCTCAGAATGAGATGGATCTTTAAGAATGCTTTGAACTTTCTTAAGGCAGCGGGAGCTATAAAGCTCTTCCAAAGAGGGGAAAGGCAACCAGTGATCCTCTGGGCAATGACGTTAACCCTCTGGAGCGCTGTCCTATCTGCCACTGTGCAATTGGCAAACCATACAAATATAACCTGCCAGGTATTTATGATAACTGCAGTGCCCTGAGCTCTTTAGCGACCATCTGACATAACAACTGCAATGATCCACTTAACCACTGTGGCAAGAAAAGTCACAAAATGAGGGCACAAGTCACTTAATAGCTGCCTTGCTTGGCTTACCAACAGGAATGTTGGGTTCCTACATGAACCGTTACTGGTTCGCTCATGTGCACATTTTGCACGCGCACTGCTTGCTTTGCACATGTGAACACCGCCCAAACATTGCTTGCACATGTGCAGTTTGCTGTTAATGGTTGTGCGCATGTGCGAAGACCATTAAAAGCTAATAAACAAGATGCCAGCAACAGCAATGGAGACCAGGGAACCGGTTCGGGGGCATGGCCAGCCTGGGTCACTGCCGGTTTTGGAACCCAGGCCAGATTACCAAACTGCGCCGAACTGTCTGTCTGTCTGATTAAGTACACATTTTGAAGGAATTCTTTACTGGTAAAAAGAATATTTGTAATATTCTATCTATTGATCTATCTACTGTTACCTAGTTTGCTAATGAAACGTCTGCAAGAAACCCACCAACCTCAGAAAGCACCAAGGTCCTACAGAATTCCTTATTGTTTCCTCCCCCCGCCATACAATTTTTTTTTCTTTTATCTGTATGTATCAACGGATGAACAGTGTGGCACCTGGGTGTCATATATTCTAATACCAATAAAACTAGTAGAATTAATCATAGTTATTACATTCAACCAACTTATATATTTCTAATACTAATACAGATTTATATTAAATTATTGTCTGTCATTATTAAATTTTTCCGTGTTTTCTCTTGCTATTGCTTTTATGTAAAAGTGTATACACTAATATTTCCCCTTTCTCTTATTTCTATCTCTTATTCTAACTTTTAATCATGTCATCCTTTTATGAAAAGACGTTTTCTTTCTATCCTACCTAACTTTTGATCATGTCACCTACCCAAAAAAGAAAGGAAAGAGGGGGAAAAAGAAAAGCAAATCGGAACAACAAGAAAGAAAACTCATCTATCCATCATCTCTTTCCTGCCTTAATACTTTAATTGCTTTGCTTTGTTTTGACTTGACTCCCATATTCCTCTCTTAGATCTTTACCTCTGTCTGCATCTATTTCTTGGCTATTCAATCTAAGTATTTCTCCCATTCCTACCCTCTTCCACTACCTAGTTTCCAAACTTTCTATCCATGCCCCTATTCTCCCTTTCAAAGATATCTTCCTATCTCTCCAATTCTCTTCTCAACTCTCCATACTGTTTTCTAAAGTACGATACTTGCAGATGTATTTGAAATACTCCAATCTATGCATTTTCCAGCCAGACAGTCACACTTTGATTCACATGGGCCGAATTCTCAGATATTTTCACTTAGTGGGTGCAATCTGACAATGTTGCGTGTGTTGGGAAAGCAAGAGACATAAGCTTATCCCTGTAGTAACTCCCTGCCTCGCCCAAAGGACTATTTCCCATCCAACAAATCAGTGAGACAAAAAGAGCAAGTCGCTTGTCCAGGCAGGGCTCCATAACGCAATGCCCCTTTTCTGAACTCACAGAAGTTCTTCCCCCAAAAAAGCTCAACTGATGATGCTTACAATGAAGGAACCTGGCCAAGAAAGTCTGTCATGAATGCCAAGTCACATATTTGCCTCCACAAAACCAACGACAAATGATCCCTTTGAGGGGAAGGCATAAGAGAAGATCTTCTCAACAAGCAAAGTCAACAGGGGAGCCATCATCTCTGTAAACTTGGAGCTTATAACAAAACGAAATTCAATGGTGAAAAAAGCAAGGTCCTACATTTAGGCAAGAAAAACAAAATGCACAGGTACAGTATACAGCATGTGGTACCTTGCGCAATAGTAGTAACTGTGAGGGGGACCTTGGAGTCCTAGTGGACAACCATTTAAATATGCAGTGTGCAGCAGCTGCCAAAAAAGCCAACACAGTTCTAGGCTGCATAAACAGAGGGATAGAAGCAAGATCATGTGAAGTGTTAAATACCAATTTATAATGCCATGGTAAGGCCACACTTGGAATACTGCATCCAGTTTTGGTCACCACGATGTAAAAAAGATGTTGAGAGTCTCTAGAAAGAGTGCAAAGAAGAGCAACGAAGTTGATTAGGGCAGTGGTCCCCAACCTTTTTATCGCCGCGGACCAGTCAGCCTTTGATAATTTTACCGTGGCCCGCTGAGCGCGCGCAGGGGTGGGGGTGGGGGGCGTCTCTTCCCTGGAGCCAGGGTAGAAACCATAATGTTCATTATGTGTTTATCAAGCACACATCCTAATTGGCTGTAATTTACTGTGTGACAATCAATCATGGCTTTTTTAGCCCACATTTTAAAAAATAATGTTTAACATAAAAAGATCCTGAAATCCTTCGTCATCCTTTCCCACG